ATCAATTACCCAGAAATTATATCTCTTGAACTTTGTATATGTTACATACCAATATAAGTTCCAAAATGGGTATGTGACCTAGATTTAAAAGGTCACATTATCAACAAATTAGAAGAACAAAAAAGAAATTACCTTTCAGATTTACAGATGAAGGAAGAGTTCATGACCAAACAAGGGATAGGAGGGATGACAAAAGATAAAACGGAAATTTTTCATTACATAAAACATATTTTTACACAAATACAATATAGCTAAGATTAGAAGGAAAACAGTTAAATGGGAGAAATTTTTGTAGGAAGTTTCTTGGATAAAGGTCTAATTTCCAAGATATAGAAGGAACTAATTCAAATAAAGGAATAAGAGCCATTCCCCAACTGATCAGATGATATGAAAAGTTTTTTTTCAGAGGAAGAAATCCAAGCTCCAGATAGTCATATGGAAAAAATGGTCCAAATCACTAATAATTAGGGAAATACAAATTAAAACAACTTCGAGGTTCTGTTGCATAGCCATCAAATTGTCAAAGTTGACAAAAAGAGGAAAATGATAAATACTGGAGGGGCTATGGGTAAATAGACACATTGATGCACTATTGGGAGAGCTATGAATTGGTCTAGACTCTAGACATTCTGAACAACAATCTGCAACCAAGTAGTCACTTAACGGTGCATAGACTTTCACCCCTGGATACCACTACTAGGCCTATACTCAAAGGAGATCAAACAACAAGGAAAAGGCCCTATAATGACAAAAATGTTTACAGTAGCTCTCTTTGTAGTGGTAAAGAACTAGAAACTATGCGAGTGCCCATCAATTGGGGAATGACTGAAAAAATTTGGTATATGAATGAAACAGAATGCTGTTGTGCCTTCCAAAATGGTGGAAGGTATGGTTTCAGGAAAATCTGGGAAGACTTGAATGAACTAATGTAGAATAAAGTCAACAGAACCAGGAGAACAATTTTTGTTTATATGTAAATATAACATTAATAACAATAAGTTAATATCAACATTGTAAAAATGAACAATTCTGAAGGACTAAATACCAGATCAATATAGTGATCAACTGTGATTCCAGAGGAATTATGATAAAGAGGGCTACCCATTTTGTAACAGGGAGGTGATATATGCAGAATGAGAAACACATTTTTGGACAGGATCAACACGTGAATTTGTTTTGCTTGACTATGCTTAATTGTGCATTAAAAAGTTTTGTGCTCTTTTGGTGGGGGGAGGGGAGGAAGGAGTAGGAGGAAGTAAAAAATGTTTGATAATTGAATAAAATTTTTAATGAAATAAATTATGTTATTCTTGGCTTTAGAGAAATGTTTTTTGATGATAAGTTCTTTTTATTCCTATGCTTTTAATTAAACAAATGTTGTATTTGATTAAGGACCTTTTCATAACACTATGGGATCATAGACTGATGGAAGGTGGAAGGACCTTTAGAAGGCATCTAGTGCAACTCCTTCATCTTACAGATGAGGAAACTGAGACTCAGGGGTTGAAGGATTTACCTAGCCAACAGGGATCAAAGGAGAGATTCAAACCAGGTATTCCTAACTCCAAGACCAATAGCCTATCCATTATACTGTGCTGCCACTCATTTATTTTCTTCACTTATAGACATAACTTTGTGTTTTTTATTACTGATTTATTATGCTAATTATTTTCCTAAAGATTGAACCATCCATGCATTCGTAATATTAATATAACTTGATCATAATGAATACTCTGTAGGCTATATTTCTGTAATCCCCTAGCCGATATTTAATTTAATATTTTACATTAATATTCCTTGGCAATATTGGTCTAAATTTCCTGTCTCTGCTTTATATTTCCCTGGTTTAGAAATCAGGATAATGATCTCACACAAAAAATTTGGTAATGTGCCTTCTTTTGCCATTTATTTATCTCGCAGAAAGATTTTGGTTGTGTGTTTTCTTTTGCTATTTTTGAAAGGTTTATGTAGCATAGGAATTATTTGTTCATTAAATGTTATTTAAAATTAATTTAGACATCTGCCTGGACATAGAATTTTTTCCCATGGGAGTTCAATAGAAACTTGTTTGATTTTTCTTCCTGATATTGAATTATATAGGATATTTATTTTCTAGTTGTTATTTTATGTATCTTACATTTTTTGAGACAATCATTCATTTTGCTTGGGTTTTCAGGTTTGTTGGCATGTAATTTGGCACAGTAATTTTTAATAATTTATTTACTTTTCATTTGTTGTGAATTCCCCCATTTCATCTTTGATTTTGTTGATTTGGTTTTGTTCTCTCTTTTTAAAAATCTAATTAGTTAATTGTATATCAAGTTAGTAGTTTTTAAAAAATAGCATTTTTGTTTATTAATTCAATCATCTAAAATTTTTACTCCTTATGTTGCCTTTAGTTTTCAAAGACTTCTCTTTTTTTTATTTTTTTGAGATTATATTTATGCTGCTTTTCTAGGTTTTTAAAAACTGCACACTTCATTTATCTCTTTGTATTTTGTTAACATAAGTGTTCAAGGATATAAATTGTCTTATAAAGACTCTTAATGAATGAAATGAAATGAATGAAAAAGCATTGAATGCTTATTATGTGCTAAGTACCGGATACAAATTAAAAAAGAGATAAAATAACTACCCTCAAAGACAACAAGACAAAACATGCACAGGAATGACGGCTAGCCTCCATCACTCAAGTATTGACATTGGAATATTTTAGTTTGGAAAGTGTCTGGGATGTGAGTTGAATTATAAAGGAATAAATGTCCATACCCTTTCTAATAGCAATGGTAGAATTGAGTTAATATATAGTTCCAGGATTGGAAAGTAGAGGTGGAGATGGAGAAAGGAAGGGCAAAAGGTATGTTCCCATCTGTCAGTAGGTGGGAAGAAGATGACTAGGAAATAAAGTAAAGCGTGGTTGGGACTACCTAAATATGGTGAACTACATCAAGCATTCATTAATCAATACAGGAGGGCACCTAAAATTAGAGATTTAGTTGCATCCCACATTATTTTGGTATGTTATTTCATTATTATAACTCTTTGTGGTATTTTTGACAGTTTATATGATTTGGTATTTATTTTAACCCACTGATTAAGATGTCATCTTTAGGTTCTATTTAGGTCTCTAACTTTTGTTCATATTTCCTTTCATGGCTATAATTTTTATTGTGTTACAATCTGTAACAGCAGTATTTAAGAGTTCCATTTCTCAGCATTTATGTGTTATTTTTGCCCTAGTTCATGATCAATTTTTTTAAGTCCCATAGGAGTCTAAGAATGTGCATATTCTCTAAGATTCCCATTCAGAAGTATTCATAGGTTTGTCAAATCTAGTCCTTCCAAAATTTTATTCAAATGTATAATTTCCTTCTTGTTTGTTTTTCTATTGTATTTGTCCGATTCAGACAAAATAACATTAAAATTGCTTTTAATTAGTGATTTGCTATCTAGTCAGCTAGGTGATAGAGTGGATCAGGTATTGACTATGGAGTTAGAAAGACCTGAGGTCAAATTTTGCTTCTAACACTTGCTTGTAATCCTGGGCAAGTCAGGTTGTTCAGCCTGTTTCCTTACCTGTAACAGGGGTATATAGCACCTGCTTCACAGAGCTGTTGTAAAATGGGTAATGGCACCTGCTTCACAAGGTTGTTATCGGATCAAATGAGATAATACATGTATGGTACTTTGTAAACTTTAAAGTGCTATGCTAATTCTATTATAATTATCTAATAATTTAAAACTTTTCACTTAGCTTTTTTTTTTTTTAGGAATTAGTTTACTATGCCATTTAGTGCATAATATTTAGCAATGTTTTATTATTTATTATGCTTTTATTAATAATGATTTCCCTCTTCTTGCTCTTAGTAGTGTCTGTGTTTTCTATTGCCTTATCTTCAATAACGATTACAACTCCTGCTTTTGGAGATTCAAGGAAAGCAAATGCATTCCAGCCCTTCACTTTGAATCAAAATAAATCCTCATGTTCTACATCTGTTTCTTATAAGCAGCAAGTTAGTGAATTTTGTTTTCTAATCCATTTTGCAATTAGTTTTCTTTTTATTGGGGGATTCAGCAAACTCAGTTCAATCAATTGAATTAACATTCAAATTTGTAAGTGTAAGGTTTAACTTTCCCTCTATCACATTCTGTAATATTAGTTGTTTTTTGTTTTTCTATTCTATTAAAGGAGATAAGGAAGCCAAAATACAAACTCCACTGTTTGGCATTTAAAACCCTTCAAAAAATGTCTCTTAGCTTAGTTTTCCAGACATTGCACATTATGCAACCTCAAACATTCTACATTTTAGTCAAACTGTTTTACTTGTCATTGCTCAGACAGGACACCCTATCATCCACCTCGCTGCCTTTGAACAAGCTACCTCTCCTATCTATAATGTTCTCCCTCTTTACCCAGGCCTCTTGGAATCTCCAGCTTCCTTCAAAGCTCAAGTAAGATGTCAGCTCCTATGTGAGGCCTTTCCTCGTGCCTCATTTGTTAATTCTCTTCCTCCCTACACTTTATCAGCATACATGTTGTATCTTCCCCCTCATCCTGAATGGAGCATAAGCTCCTTGCAGACAGGGAATATTTAGTTTTTAATCTTTGTGTCTCCTGCACCTACTGCAGTGCATGACACACAGTAGGTGTTTGATAAACATTTGCTGGATTGAATTGAATTGGTTTATAATGATAAGCTCTCCCAGTTTTGACTTTTAACATTTATTTTTGTTGTTTCTCATTTTTCTATTTCTGCATTTTTTGGTTGTCGTTCTGGAACATTGCCTTTCTCAAGGAGCCAATTGCCTCAAGATTTTCTTTCCTATGTTACCAATTCTATTGTTTATTTTCTTGATTTTTTTCCCCTCAGCAATCTTATTTCCAGTCTTATAGGTGTCTAATTGTCCTTTTTATCTCTTATTGTGATTCTAAACCACACTGCAAATTCTTGCAATGTGTCTATTCACTCTTCTTCAGCTGTAGGAATTTCCATTGCGGCCCTATTCTTACTTTTTACAGATTTCTCTTCAATTTATCTTACTCTTAGTATTTATTCATTTTGAAAGCTCTTTTTTGTTCACTCATTTCCTTATTCTCCCTGTGGTTTTCCTTTGAAGATTTCTTTTCTTTTCTTCTTCCTCCCCTCCAACCCCACTCCTTTCTGGTATTTTTTTTTTTTTGGTTTTTGTTTGTTTTTTTTAATTTGGTGCATTTGTCTTAGTTACAACTTTTTACTTACTATCTTGAACCAATCTTCTCAGTAAAATATGGGAATAGTTCATCTATTCCAAATGGGAAGAGGAGAATGTAGCTGGAAGTAAAAGAAAAGAAGGAAAAGGGTTAGAAGAGTTACCATGTACATGAAATACAGAACCACTACAGATGGAATTTTCAAACCCTAATGAAGACTTGCTGAAGTTATGTATTGTTAGTCTGTATGATACAATTTAATGACTTTTTTCCTTGCCTAATTTTGTGGCTTTCTCTACTAACATCCAGAAGACCTGGGGCACAAAGGGAGAAATGGGATGGTGGGATTTACCCAGAAGATTTAGAGATCAGTAATGGAATAAGGGGGGAAGCCAAAGCTAGGGGAATAGATAACAAAATTGGAACTCAAAATAAGGGGTTGAGGAGGTTGAATAATTAAAATGGTGAGCCATAGGGTAAAGGTGAAGGTCAATGAAGGCAGAGCAGGGTAGATAGTACTAAGAGAATAGGTATGGGTCAAAGGACTAGAGACCCTGATATGAGTTGACAGGAGATTAGTATAAGAGTGGGAGAGGTGTAATGCTAGGACATTTTAGAGTTTTAAAGAATTTTGAAGTTTCAGATCCTGCAGGGGATAAAATTCTAAGAGATAGGGAAGTTTAAGGGATAACGATGCCATTGTGTAGCTCAAGTAGGATAGAGAAGGAGGTCATTATAATTTAGGAGTTTGGGTCAAAGAATGTGAAAGCAGTTTTCAGAGGAAGAAATCCAAGTTATCAATCGCCATGTGAAAAATGCTCTAAATCACTAATAATTAAAGAAATGGTTTCACCCCACACTCAATCAGACAGGCAAAGTTGACAAAAAAAAGAAAAATGACAAGTACTGGAGACACTATGAAGAAACAGGTATGTTAATGTATTATTAGTTGAACTGTGATCTGGTCCAGCTAGTCTAGAAAGCAACTTGGAACTATGCAGTGAAAACAAACTGTGCACATCCTTTGTCCCAGAAATACCACTATTAAATCTATACCCCCAAAGAGAACAGAGAAAGAGGAAAATGAGCCATTTGTACAAAAATATTTATAGCTGTTCTTTTTGTGACAGCAAAGAACTGAAAACTGAGAGGGTGACCACAAACTGGAGAGTTGCAAACAAGTTATGACATGTGAATAGAATAGAACACTATTTTGCCAGAAGACATGATAAAGGGGACGGTTTCAGGAAAACCGGGGAAAACTTGTAGGAACTGAGGCAAAGTGAAGTGAGCAGAACCTAGGGAACAGTTTATACAATAGTAAGGCCACTGTGAAAACAAGCAACTTTTGAAACACTTAGAAATTGTGATGAACACAATGACCGATCACAGTTCTGGAGGATTCATGACGAAACTGACAGAGCAGTGATGGACTCACAGTGCAGACTGAGACTTTTTTTTTACATGATTAATGTGGGAATTCATTTTACTTGACTATACATGTTTGTAACAGGTTTTGTTTCTCCTGCTTTCTCAGTAGAAGGGGGGAGGTTGAAGAAATGAATGAGAAAGAGGATGAAAACTGAAATATAATGAAATTGAATTTTTAAAAAGATTAGGAATTTGAGGGGCAGCTAGTTGGTGCACCGGCCCTGAAGTCAGGAGGACCCGAGTTCAAATCTGACCTCAGACGAAACACTTGACACTTACTAGCTGTGTGACCGTGGGCAAGTCACTTAACACCAATTGCCTAAAAATTAAAAAAAAAAAAGGATTAGGAATTTGAGCAAATGGGCGTTCAGGTCATTTGAGAGGTCATCAACATAAACAGTGAAATCTCTAAAGATGATGTTAGAGTAATGGGTTCAGAGAAAGATCATGAGCCTAACTAAATTCATTGAGAAAGATGATTGTAGATTGAGTAGATAGCACTAAGTCTACAAAGAGAGTGGATGAAAGAAAGAAAGAGACAGAAAGAAAGGAAAGAAGGAAGGAGGGAAGGACATTGAAGGATGGCTCTAGAATAAATGGCTGCAACAGGACAATGTGGAACAGAATGTGTCTGTCCCTCCTGTATGCCAGAGTGGGGATGAATAATGTTAGAAGGAATAGCTACCAGTGGAGAGGGTAGCAAGGGATGTGGTTTCCTCAAGGGAAAGCCAGGTTCGTTTGGGTTCCCAACTAGTTAAGACTTATCACCTTCTCTATCTCATTCCCTGAAGCCATTCCCAGGTTCTGAATCCAACTGGGATGCAAAGCACTGAATCTCTTAAAAACCAGACTCCTCCCATCCCAGCACCTCCCAACACAGTGGGAACTGGGAAAATAATGGTTGTCATGGGGGAGGAGTGATGACAGACCTGACCTGTCTGGGGACTAGAGTAGTTAAACTTCAGACTCATGTGTCCAGTTCAAATTTCTTGTGGGGTTTTCTAGATTCTTCTCTTGGATTTTAGGAGAAAGTGCTAGTTTCTTAGGAAAGACTCAGGCCCTATCTCCAGAATACCCTAGAAACAATGCATAGACAAAGCGGCTTAGATGATGTAGTTTGGCAAGAGAGGTGTTTAAAACTTTCTGTTCTTTTTTTTTCTCCTTCCTTTGGGAGGCTGGGGTAGAGGGCAGAGTTGAAGTTAATGTAGAGGTTGGGGAAAGATCCAAGAAGTCTGTACAAAAGGAGTAGCCTAAGAAAAAGACTTCAAAAGAGAAATATAGAATGGATATATAAAGAAAGGAGAGAAAGACATGCAGGGTAAACAGCTCTGGAAGCTTTGGGCAAAGAAGAGGGATTATTCTTTGGTTCTCTGTGACTCATCCTTTAATTCTCCAGTCAGGCTCCCTCTCACAACCACCAAACCCATAAGCTTTGGTAAGAGGTTAAAAATAATGAGTTTTGCCTCATTTTCTCAAGAAATGCCACAAAGCACATCAGGTGTTTGTGGCAAAGACACTGGAGTGGTTTGCCATTTTCTTCTCCAGCTCATTTTACTGGTAAGGAAACTGAAGCAAACAGGGTTAAGTGACTTGCCCAAGATCACATAGCTATTAAGTGTCTGAGGCCAGATTTGAACTCAGGAAAATGAGTCTTCCTGATTCTAGTCAACAAAGAAGGCTGAAAAGGAGAATTAAAAGATGCAGGCAAACCATAAGGGTATGATGTCATGTGAACTAGTAAGGTAAGGATATCAAGAAAGAGAAAATTATCAGGACTGTCAAATACTTGAAAGTGGTCAAGAAGGATAAGGACTGGAAAAAAGCTCATTGGATTTGGTGGTATGAACCTAGGCACTCTCTATCCTGGGTCCTCACTGCTCCCCTACTTACAAGTGGCTCAGTTCTGTCATGGAAGATGCTTTTCTATATCATACTTTTCTAAACCTCTCCATTAACATTTTACTTGAGGATGATCAATCATTGTGAAATATAAACCTGAGCCAATGCTTAGACTTGGCTTTTAATAGGGAAAGAACCAGGACTGAAAGATAGAGAGGGGAGGTCTACACAGAGATAGACAGACAGGAAGCAATGAGAGACATAATTTAGGGAATAACCCAAGATTGAATCCAGTCTGTATAAATCCTGGCTTTATTTCTAGACTACAGCTTACACTAAAAAACAAACAAAAAACCCCTCTGAACCAGAAAATCAATAAAGATGGAAGTCATTTTGTCAGGCTGAGTGTTGAGAAAGTACAGTAACAAATATAGACTACTCTTTCTCAAAGTTTGTCAGTGAGCAGGAAGGGAGGACATAAATTTGTTGAGGAAGCAAGGTCAAGACAATTTTTTTTTTTAGAATGGGAAAACCTGAGTATGTTTATAGCCTGAGAGGAAGGAGGCAGAGAGATTGAAGATTTGTTTTATTAAGAACACAGAGGCCATTTGCCCTGAGCTCCCTCTTCGAACCTATTTTGAAGCCCTTTGATGTTAGCCTCTATTTTCCTGTCCTTTAGTCTGGTAAAGAAAGGGCCTATTCCTGGCTCGCCTTGGAATCCCCTCATTTCCTCCAGCAAATTACCCCTACACTCATCTCCTTTCTTTTCTTTATTCTTCAATGTCTTCCTATCTAATGGCTCCTTCCCTGTTGCCTACAAACAGGCACAGAGCTCACCCATTCTTTTTTCTTTTTTTTTTTTTAAGGCAATTGGGGTTGAGTGACTTGCCCAAGGCCACATAGCTAGTAAGTGCCAAGTGTGTGGTCTGAGGCTGGATTTGAACTCAGGTCCTCCTGACTTCAAGGCCAGTGCTCTACCCACTGCACCACCTAGCTGCCCCTCCTCCATTCATTTTTTTAGACTTAAATTTGTACTAATATATTTTGTTTTTACATCACCTATATTTCCCATTATATCCTTCCCCCTCACCAGAGTTTATAACAAAGAATAAAACTCTTTTAACAAAGAACAAAAACGGGGCAGCTAGGTGGTGTAGTAAATAGAGCACCAGCCCTGAAGTCAAAAGGACCCGAGTTCAGTTCCGGTCTCAGACCAAACACTTGATACTTACTGTCTGTGTGACCCTGGGCAATTCACTTAACCCCAACTGCCTAAAAAAAAAAAAGAATAAAAAGAGAAATAAAAAGTTTAGAAAAACCAACATGTCAAAGAGTCTGATATAGGAAGTGTTGTTTGCTCATAGTCCACTAAAGAAGGAGAGGGGGGCACATGCCCCTCATTTTTAAAAAACCTTCACTTGACCCTATCATCCCCTCAAGCTATAATCCTATATCTACTGAGAGAATTAATTTAGTATGATGAGATTATTATTAGACCATGAGATCCTTGAGAACAGGGACTATTTTTTGCCTTTCTTTGTATCCCCAATGCTTAGCATAGCACCTTGCACATAATAGATGCTTAATAAATGCTTAAGAAAAACTTGACTTGAACTAACATAGGGCACTAGACTTGGTTTTAGGAAGACTTGGGTTCAAATCCCAACTCAAATACTTACTACGTGACCCCAGGCAAATCATTTAACTTCTGTATGATTCAGTTTCCTTATCTGTAAAATAATGAGGCTGGACTCAACGACCAGTGAGTTCCTTTCTAGCTCTACATCTATTAGATTTAGATGGTTCTATCCTCCCTTTCACAGCCAGACTTAGAAAAATAGAAAAATATGG